AGCCAGAGCCTCAAGCTGTTGCCCTGGGTAGAGTGCCATGGCAGCACAGCTCACAGCAACCTCCAACTCCTGGGCTCAAGTGATTCTCTTGCCTCCATCTCCCAAGTAGTTGGGACCACAGGTGCCTGCCACAACACCCGCTATTTTTTGGTTGCAGCTGTCATTGTTGTTTGGTGGGCCCAGACTGGATTCTAGCCCACCAGGTCAGGTGCATGTGGCTGGCACCCCACTTGAGCCATAGGCACCGAGCCAGAGTTGGAGGTTTCTATGAGCTATGACACCACAGCACTCTACCAAGGATGATAAAGTGAGACTCTGTCTGTAAAAAAAAAAAAAAAAGACTAAGGGAGATGGAGGCTCCTTTTATGTATGGAGATAAAAGTGCACTTAAGAGACTGTGAAGTGGCTTGGCGCAGTGGCTTACGCCTGTAATCCTAGCACTGTGGGAGGCTGAGGCTGGTGGATTGCTAGAGCTCACAAGTTCAAGACCAACCTGAGCAAAATCAAGACCCCCATCTCTACTAAGGATTGCTTGAGCAAGAGGACTGCTTGAGCCCAAGAGTTGGAGGTTGCTGTGAGCTATGGCACCACAGCACACTACCCAAGACGACAGCTTGGGACTCTGTTTCAAAAAAAAAAGAGACTTTGGGCTGGGCGCCTGTGGCTCAAGCAGCTAAGGCACGAGCCACATATACCTGAGCTGGTGGGTTCAAATCCAGCCCAGGCCTGTCAAACAACAGTGATGCCTGCCTGCAACCAAAAAAATAACCGGGCGTTGTGGTAGGTGCCTATAGTCCCAGCCTTGGGAGGGAGAGGCAGCAGGATTGCTTGAGCCCAGGAGTTTGAGGTTGCTGTGAGCTGTGATGCCATGGCACTCTACCCAGGATGACAGTTTGAGGCTCTGTCTCAAAAAAAAAAAAGACTTTGAAGGCTGAGCATGGTGGCTCATACCTATAACTCTAGCACTTTGAGAAGCCAAGCCAGAAGGATTGGTTGAGGCCAGGAGTTCAGGACCCACTAAGCAAGAGTGAGACCCCATCTCTACAAAAAGTTGAAAAATGAGTGGAGTATGGTGGCACATGCCAGTAGTTCCAACTACTTAGGAGGGTAAGGTAGGAGGATTGCTTGAACCCAGGAGTATGAGGTTGCTGTAAGCTATGATAATGCCACAGCACTCTAGCCCAAGTGACAGATCAAGAACCTGTCTCCAAAATAAAAAAAGAGAGACCCAATTCAGACGAAAATAATGGTTGGGGGTAGGGATTGGGTTAGTAGGTCCCTGCTGGATAGAAAAGTATCATACATTGTCAGAATCTCTGAAGGTACATGCTTAGAATGGTGTGAGCTGTACTCAGTCTGGGTGATGATCCTTTTGTCTTCTTCAGTCTTCATCCCCACCTTACCCCAAATGCTGACTCCAGGCCTTCTAATAGAAAGGATGGGGATGGCATGGTGGCTCAGACCTGTCATCCTAGCACTCTGGGAGGCCTAGGCGGGTGGATTGCTTGAGCTCAGGTGACCAGCCTGAGCAAGAGCAAGACCCTGTCTCTACTAAAAACAGAAAAACTGCTGGGCACTGTGGTGGGTGCCCATAGTCCCAACTACTCAAGAGGCTGAGGCAGGAGGGTCGCTTGAAGCCAGGAGTTCGAAGTTGCTGTGACCTATGATGCCACAGCACTTCCCCCAGGGTGACAGACAGAGACTATGTCTAAAAAAGAAATCTAACTAAATATGTAATTCAGGCAGAAACAGTTGTCCCAGCAATAAGAGCCTGCCCTTCCAGTGTCATGGTCACTTTCCCCACTTTGCCTTTCCCAGATGCTACTGCAGATTGCTGATGATTTTATCGAGAGTGTGGTGACAGCAGCCTGCCAGCTTGCTCGGCATCGCAAGTCCAGCACCTTGGAGGTAAAAGATGTCCAGCTGCATTTAGGTATGTGGTCTTGTTTCTCCCTGAAGTACCCTCATGACTGTATTTTCAGGACTGCCAGCGAAAGTGTAGTCAGAGGAACCTTCATGCCAGGACCAGGTTTTGGGGCTCTGGGATTAATGTATTCATTCAGTAGAGAAGAGAAATCCATCCATGGCAGAGAGAATGAGCCCAGGCATTAGATTTGAAACCAGATTTTGCCAGCTATCTCAGCTTATCCTTCCTGCTTAATTTCTCTTAGAGCCCATTTTTTCATTTATAAATCAAAGATCATAATATCCTCCTTCCAGAGTAGCTGTGAGATTTATAGATTATATTTGTAATGTGACTGGCATAGGACCTGGCACAAAGTAAGAGTTTAGTAAATGTAGCTACTATTATGTCTCCCCTGTTCAAATAAAACCCTCAGTGTTCTCTTGTAGTTTTTACCTATTTCTTTTCCCAAAAAAAGAATAATAATAATAATACTGTACATCCAATTATATATTCTGCTTGTCCACTTTACAGACACTAAATTTGGGCTTGGATTTTTCTGGGAGATACTCACATAACATTGATAATCATAATCACCTAAAAATGAATAAGCCCCCCTCTGCATTGACTATGATATGATGAAAAGAAAGAGAGAATAGATGATAACTACAAATTCAGTTAAGCCAAGGGAATGAGACAGAAGATAATAAGGGATTCCATGCAGATCAGCTCATGACTGCTTACTGAACGACTTCCTTCCCCATGTCGAAAAGCTATTGCTTGTGGAGGCATTATTAATTTAGGTGAAGTAAATAACACACTTCTGGTTAACATTGTTAGTATTAATAGACTAGGACAGATACTCTTTTTTTTTTTTTTTGAGACAAAGTCTCAAGCCATCGCCCTGGGTAGAGTAACACAGCATCACAACTCACAGCAACCTCAAACTCTTGAACTTAAAGCGATTTTCTTGACTCAGCCTCCCAAGTAGTTGGGACTACAGGTGCCCACAAAAACACCCAGTTATTTTTTGGTTGCAGTTGTCATTGTTGCTTTGTAGGCCGGGCTGGATTCAAACCTGCCACCTTTGGTGTATGTGGCCAGAACCCTGCCAACTGAGCTATGGGCGCTGCTGACAGAGAATTTTTTGTTGTTGTTGAGACAGGGTCTCGCTCTTGCTCAGGGTAGAAGAACAGATATTCTTGTTATCTATTAAGCCCTAAACAGTGGCCTAAAACAATAGTTGTTGATTTTATTATTTCTTTGTTGTTTATTTATTTTTGAGACAGGGTCTTGCACAGGCTAGAGTACAGTGGTGACATCACAGTTCACAGCAACCTCAAAGTCCTGGGCTCAGGTGATCCTCCTGCCTCAGCCTTTCAAGTAGCTGGGACTAGAGGTGCATATAACCACATCTGGCTAATTTTTCTATTTGTTGTAGGGCCAGGGTTTCACTATATTGCCTAGTCTGGTCTCTAATACCTGACCTCAAGCAATCCTCTCACTTCAGCCACAATGCCAGGCTAATTTTTTTTTCTTTCTATTTTTAGTAGAGATGGGGTCTCACTGTTACTCCGGCTGGACTCAGACTTCTGAGCTCAAAGGATCCTCCCACCTCAGCCTCCCGGAGTGCTAGGAATATAGGCGTGAGCCACGGCTCCCAGCTGGTTTCAGACATTTTTGTTTTCAAAGAAACACTGGAAGAAAGTTATATGTCGGCTTGGCGCCTGTGGCTCAAGTGGCTAAGGCGCCAGCCACATATACCTAAGGTGGCGGGTTCAAATCCAGCCCGGGCCGCCAAACAACAATGACAGCTGCAACCAAAAAAAATAGCCAGGCGTTGTGGTGGGTGCCTGTGGTCCCAGCTACTTGGGAGGCTAAGGCAGGAGACTCGCTTGAGCTCAGGAGTTGGAGGTTGCTGTGAGCTGTGGTGCCATGCCATGGCACTCTGCCCAGGGGGATAGCTTGAGGCTCTGTCTCAAAAAAA